CCTCCTGGGGTGCACAAAGCAGCAGGAGCCATCCCCCATCCCCCCCCCAAACCCCCGGGAAGAGCCACTGCTTTGTCCCACGCCTGCCCAGCACCGGCTGAGCAGCACCTACCCCAGCCCAAGTCCCACTCCCTCCCTTACCACAGGGGGCGCTGATCTGCCCCCCCCAACACACCTTCCCTCCCCTCCTCTCCTTCCACTGCAACAGATTGACTAGCTGCACACAGATGTATCAGAAATCAGATCGGTATTAGCTGATATGCCTCCTTAAAAAAAATCAGCTATCGGTATCAGCCCCAAAAATCTCTATCGGTGCACCCCTAGTCTTGGATGTTCATTTTCACTACGTGCATCTACAAGAGACACTTTACTGTGCAGTAGACTAATCTACTATGAAGTAAAGCATCACCATCTACATATGTGCACATTTACTGCACTGTAAATTAGTCTACTAAGCGGTTAGCTACTACCTATAAATAGAGGTTGTAAACTAACTGTGCAGTAACACTCATGTAGATGGTGACCAGATGCAGATTGCTCCCAGTCAGCCTAGGCAGTGTGGAGTTATAAGGGACAGGGAACTCTGTCCCCTGTTCTGGTGCTGATCCTGAGAGGAGCCAAGAAGCTGATCAGCCTCAAAACAGGGGACAGAGTTCCCTGTCCCTTATGGCTCCACGCTGCCTAGGCTGACAGGAAGCAATTTCTTCACCTCCGTTTTCTCGTCCAGGGACCGGGACTTCCCCACCGTGATGCAAGACAGACTCAAGGGGAATGCCTCCAGACCTCAGGTTGGGGAGGACCAGGTTAGAGAGCTTCTGGAGGGGCTGGACGTGTTCAAATCAGCGGGTCCAGATGCTCTCCACCCCAGGGTGTTGAGGGAGCTACCAGGGGTTATTGCAGGGCCCTTGGCATGGCTTTACGAGCGCTCGTGGTGCTCGGGCCAGGTGCCAGATGATTGGAAGATAGCCAACGTGGTCCCCATCTTTAAAAAAGGGAGGAGGGAGGACCCGGGCATCTATAGGCCCGTCAGTCTTACCTCAATCCCAGGGAAACTCTTTGAGAAGATCATCATGGACCACATCTGCGATGGGCCGGCCTCAGAGATGATGCTCAAGGGCAACCAGCACGGTTTCATTAGGGGGAGATCATGTCAGACCAACCTGATTGCCTTTTATGATCAGGTCACAAAAGCA